CATTGCCTTCCCCTGAAGTTGAGAGCATGTGACTTGCCCAAGGTCACTCAGTGATTTTCATGGGCGAGAGGGGAATTGAATCCTAGTCTCCAGAGTCATAGCCCAACACTATAACAGTTCAAAAAGCCAAGCTACTCAGACTGAGGATTCGAGTTGGATGTTAACAGTTTTGATAAGGTCCAGTGTGCCCTATTGGCTTGTCAGAGGATATATTTGGTCCACAAACACCTCTCTGCTTCTTCGGCTAAGGGACGAGAGCTACAGTGGTGCAGGACATCAGAGGCCAAAAGATGGTACATTGAGGTAGGGATGGAAGCAGATTATTTTGTTGTTGTTAGTATTAGATTTATTTATGTTTCACCCACATTTGCAAAACTGGGGTTCAAGGTGTCTTGTTGATAAGAATTTGCTCAATTGCACATTTCTTCATAACTGGACTGGGAATAATGTTGTTGTAGTGTGCCTTCAAGTTATTTCTAACTAATGGTGACCCTAAGGTAAATCAGTCCAATTATGAATACATACACAACTTAGTAACAATTGGGCTGGAAATACCTTGTAGTTGTTTGCCTTCAAGTCATTGGGGAGGGGGCTGCCTTTGCCTCACTCTGAGGCTAAGAGTGTGAGCTGTCATCTGGTGGGTTTCTGTGTCTGAATAGGGATTCAAACCCTGATCTCTAGACTCATCTTCCAGTGCTCAAAACCACTACACCATACTGGGATACTTTAAAAAACTGTGGGAGAGATCCAGACTGATAGATTCATTTATGTGCTTGCTGGATGACTGAGGTTTGCTGGGGGGGAGGGTGTCCTCCTCTGTATTGACCATCAGTGAAGTCAATACATTGTGTGACAGAATGGAAGAGGGTCTTCTCAACTGTGGCACTCCAACCATGGAATGGACTCTCATTGGAGGCCCAATTGGCACCAATCCTGATTTCATTTAGACAGCAAGTAAAAACATGTCTTTTAATTAAAGCTTTTGGGCCACACCTAACTCAAAATGCTAATGCATGTGGTTCTAAAACTGTTTTCATCTTTCAAATCTGTTTGAACTTGCTGATTATATTTAATATGTTTTAGCCTATTTAATTTTATTTTTTATGGTTTTCAATTGTGTTGACTTGCTTGCATTGGTTTTATTAATACACCACCCTGAGATCTTTTGATATAGGTCAGGATAGAAATATTTCACTTAATCAATCAATCAGTCAGTCAGTAAATCAGTTCATCAAGCCTAGGTCTTTGAGTGCCTCACTTTGAAAAGTTTTGGTCTTAACAACTCTAAGGCAGGCAGGTAGAACATAGTCTTCTTCATTGTGTGAATAGTTCAACCTATT